AGATATAGCGATCTTCACATATTTGGGGAGTCAGCATTTCCTGTTCATTATGATTGCAAATTAATGGGCTTCTTTGCAGAAGCAGTTTTGTTGTCAAAAAGGACTGGTTACAGGATTCAATGGTATACAAAGGGTTAGCATAATTGGGGAGAGAGGCTCCTGCTTCTTGAAAATGCACTTTAACCCTTTTGTTCTTGCAAAATAAAATCATGACATTAATGCACCTAGTATGAAATCCCTCCTTTTGTCGGCTTTAAAATGTCTACCACCCATGACCTACTAATGTACAAAATCCATGTATGTCAAGAATTCTTTTTTAATATACAACATGGACAAAATAGCAGGTTGCTTTAGTAAATTAAAAATGCTGTGAAGCCCATACAGAACATATATTTAAATGTGTATTGATTTTAGGAATTTTTTTTTAAAAAATAAACCCAATTTAGCAAGGCCATAGAAGTCACATAGAAATAGCTTTTAAATGATTGGTTATGTAAAGCAGTGTCTGAGAAAGTGTCTGGTTTAAAGCCCATATTAACCATCAACTCATTAGGTGGCCATGTAGATAGGGAAGCCATTCCCAACCTCAACCATCTCTCTGCAGTATGGGGATCACAATACTGACCTTGATCAGGGCCTACCCATGAGACATGGTGAGCCAACTGCCTCAGGCAGCAGGATCCCCACGGGCGACAAATCCTGAGGGGGCACATTATGTAGTTTGCCTCAGTTGCCAAAATGTCTTGGGCTGGTCCTGCCTAAGATACCTATTCTAAACGTTCTACAGAGATACATACACACTAAGTATTGGTAGTGATTTGTGTTTTGTTTTTGCTTATAAGAATTCATAGTACAAGCTCTTATTTATTAAGTTAATACTTGTTCTAAGAGTATAAATAAATGAATAGTGCACAGCCTTCTCAGCCCTAGAACCTCTCTTTAATCACATTCATTTCCTCTCTCACTCCCTTTCTGCCCATTTTGCCCTCCTTTTCTTCTATACATTTCTTCCTCTATTCTTTCTTTATACCACTCTTTCCTTCTTAAAAAAACAACAACCAACCAATCACTCACACATACTCCTCACTTATCCCCCTGCAAAAGAAAATGACAATAGTATTTCTGTCAACAGTTTGTTTCACCGTAGGCCATGGTCTAAGACACAGCCTTAGGCTGCCACTCTATATATACATCCTGGGGAGTAGGCACCATTGAATTCAGTGGAACTTATTTTGAAGTACACACCAGAGCTAGGGAAGAAATTCTATTCAGTTCACAATGAAAGGTGAACCGATCTCATTTGCATTTCCTTAAATGGAACAGAAACTGAGAATCAGGCAATCTTCAAAATTTGCACATCTCCAAATTTTGTAATGTAGTTCTTCAGCTAAGTAAGGCATACAAAACTGCATATAATAGGTTAAGTGTGCATTAATGAAATGACATAGAAAATGCATTATATTAAGTGAAATTGCTTGCAAAAATATGTATATTGGACAAAATTAAAAACAAGTGTGTATATTAGAAGAAATTCACACTGAAACGCTGATGGATTTCATGAGGACTTTTAAATAAAGTAATTTGCAAACTGATGTGGAAATGTGGAGATTGGAAAAATGAGAAACCAAGGGAAACTGAAATTGACATATTTGCCCATACCTCCCAGATGCATATAGGGTGTGTTCAAACATGCGAAATATTGTGTTAGTTTTGCTAGTTATAATGCTAGCAGTTCTGTCCCAGGTTCTAATGTTCCTTTTAGATGGCATTACCTGTTGACTTTTTTATCAATATACTGTCATGTTGTGCTAAATGTTAAATGGTGGGAAAGAACTATATGCCAAGATACCACCCAAAATTTCATCATGTGAGGGGTGGTGGCATGATCATGAAAAGCATGTGAAAATTACAGTGCAAAAATCCTGAAATCTTCCGAGTTGCAAATGGATTTTTTTCTGGAAGCAATTAACAATGAAATGAGTGCTACAAATCCACTAGATCCACACGATTTCCAGAAGTGCATTTTATGCCATGTGTTTGCATTATAAGGTAAGAAAATGTTGGGGACATGGAATAAAGTGCTCTCTGCAGTCATCAAACTATGCTGTAGGAAATGTGCAGAAATCGTGTCCTCCCTAAATGAGGGCACGTGTTGCAGTGAGACCTGGAGACTGACCTCCTGGTTGTGGGTGGGTATATTGGATAGCCACAACACCCAGTTGGTAGGTCCCTCGTTGCTGGGTTTAATATGGCCAATGGAGTGCAGACTAAATGGATCGAGGGACCTATATATACCTCTGCACGTGACCCAGAGCTTCCTCTTTCGGCTCGTGCATTGGAACACCCGCCCACCTTTCCCTACTTTTAGGCCATTTTGCGATTGACCTTGCTATGCCGTCGTGTGTCGTCTGTTGTTGGGACAGGGGCGTGGCAGCAATTTTTCCCACTTGGCTGATTGGCTGTTGCCATTTTGGTTTCGCCTGCCACGTAGCAAATCGTCACAACTTGTAAGGTTGTGGATAGGCACTGGTTCAGGTGATAGGGATGGGGAAACGGTCTCGCCATCCCTATGTGAAGGGTATTCCGTTAAAGGAATCCAGGGACTCAACTTGGTTTGGTCAACCCCTGAGAGGGGGTTGTGCCCATGCCTGAGTCCAGGGGAGCATCTGGGGAGTGGACATAGTCTGTTCCCGGGCTTTCCACCTACCTCAGGTGTTCCCCCTTGGCTGACCTATGATAGAGCTCTGGGGTGCAGGGAGCTAGTCGAACCAGAGCCTATGCAACCACTCACTTTTCTGTAATCAATAAAGTTGTGGCCTAAATTCTGCCAAAAACCAAAACTAAAATTTGAGTCAAGTGTGTGTTCATTTAGGGGGGAGGTCTACATGCGTTACACAGAAACAAGAATCATCACACACATACCACACACATACCACACACATACCACACACATACCCTTTTTAAAAAACAACAACATTCAAAGAGAAGTGTGTGGTTTGTTTGTTTTTTAAAGAAACACCTTACAATGAATATGCACATATATCTTGGCCTTTTTAATGGTATAAAATGCTTTCAGGCCAACAGTGAAGGCATACTTGAAAACCTTGATTTGTGAAGAGTTATGGACACAACATTGTTCTCCAAATCTCAGGAAGTGATAATGAATCATTCACAATGCTGGCTTATCTTCCTGAAAGTAAGTCACCTTGATGTTGAACAAATGGTTTGGTGAATCCATCTTAATTTTCAAAGGAAGAGGGCACAATGAAGAACATTACTTTGAAACCAACCAGCACAGAAGATGGAACATGATCCAGAAACTGAAAGCACAATAATATACAAAGAGGTGTTGTATATTTATGATAAACAGACAAGCAAGCAGTTATAACAGAAGCAGGTTAAGGATGCCTGGAAAATATATAGCTTTGTGAATTGCAGCATGAACTGACCTGATCCCTCCCTTAATGTGCCAATAGGAACTTAAGTTATCCACCCACTTTCATATTTCCAAATGTTTCTGATGAAGTCCTTGGGCCAAAATGTATAACATGCTTTTAAAAATATTTCTTTGAATGAAAATACATTTAGAAATATGTCTTTAAGCATACATTTTGTGCAGATTAATAAAAATCAAATTAAAACAGAAACAGGACAAATTAGATTTATGAGCACATGCCAAGGGATATAGAAACAGACTGATTTGTGCACCCTTGGTTATCATGCCAGGGGCTGCATAGTCACTTGAGTTTGGCAAGCAGGCAGAAGTAGGAGCTTGGAGCATGAAATAACCAGAACAAGTGGACCATTAACATGGGATTCAACAGAAAGGAATCAGATACCATTTTATAATGGACACCAAATGTCCAGTTGAATGTCCTGAGCATCTGCTTGTCTAGATGTTCATGTCCTGTCCAGGACCAATCTAAATTTCTGGTGTTACTCTAAAATAGTTTCATATGAAAAGCCAGCTCTTGCTGTTCTTATGATTCAACAGAGAGCAGGTGAGGATTCACCAGTGTCTTTAGAATAAGGACAGAGGAGGAGGACCCTAGAGTGAGAAGCTGTGTTGTCTGTAATTGAGATAATACCGTAGAGCAAGATTTGGAAAAAAAACTTACAGTGCAACTCTACACAGAAGTAAAGTCCATTGTTTTAAATAGATCTTACTTGCTAAGGGTATGTCTTAGTTCTCTGTATACTTTGAGACAGAGATCATCTGGAGGTCCAAGTGGCCTCTTCTAGATGTATTGTTAGTTCCATGCTGTGGAAAACTCTTCTACCAGTTTTAACAGGCAACTTTGCTATGGACTTTCCAGCATTTAATGAATATTTTGTGATTTTTTTTTTACAGTTTTATGGTTTTTTCTGTATGTTTCATTGAATATATTCTACAACCACCCTGATATTTCATGTCAGTTGGCAAGATATAAATACTTTTATAAATCAATAATAAAGAAATAAACATACAACGGATGCAGCATCATTTTAGATTTTCAAAGCAGTGGGTCATTGAGGGGAAAAGGAAGAGTACTGCATGGGCAAGCTTTTTTTATATACAACTTGCCTGCGATAAAAGATCCAGGGGGAGAAGAAGAGAAGGTACTTCTATTAGTTGGAATCTTATTGGCCGTTGAAGGAAACAGGATCAACTTTAGCCCAAGTGCCTGGTTGACATACTAGGTATTTGTGAAAAAGACTCCTGACTCTACAATAGTACTCACCATGGACTGAGAAAGAACACTCAACTTGCCCCCACTGAGTCTCACCGGGGTGAAAAGGGCAATAGATAGAGTGCAGGAAGGAAATGTATTGCTGTTTAAGTAGCAACATCTCTTTTGAAGTAGAGGATTAATCCTGAATAAATTCAGGACACAAGGCCTGAAAGGCAGGCTTAAGGGGAGATAATCTGCTCAAGGCCTTCTCCTTTGCATGGTTGGAAATAGCTGGGGGATCTGCCTAGGTTTATCTGCCTTTTCTTTCCATTTACTTATCTCATTTTTAATAATATCTTACGTTTATAGTGCCTTTCATCCTAATGATTCCCAAAATGCTATATAAACCTAGCAAACTGATAAGTGGGGTGTGGGGAGCAGCCAGGAGTGTGCCTGTATCTATAAAATAATAAACTATACATAGGGATTACTACATCAACAGCTGAAATTCAGTCACCAAAACAGCTGTTCAAATACAAACATTAGTGCCATTGGCCATTCTGCCTTAGTGCTTCCTGGTAACATGGTGACATGTAACTGTCAAGATGTTCCTTTAAAGGTTAGCAGACTTGTCATATGTCCTAAGTGAATTGAGAAGTTGTCAATATCCAGAAATACACATTCACAGGCTTCACACTCTTAAACAAGAGAAGGGATAGCATGAGTGTTTTAAAATAATTCTCACTGAATCCAGGGAAATCTGCCTAGGGTATGCAAGGCCCGGCATGTTAATTTTGGCCGCATAATGAAACCTAGCTGCAGCCACAAGTGGGCTCCAGTTTCTATTGACATCATAATGATCTATTTTCCTTTATCTGCTTTGCTTCATCTTCCTCATGATCCTTTGAACCATGAAGCTTTGAAACAGAAATGTTAAAGCTTTGGCCTGCCTAGAGTCCTTGAGATAGGGAAAGCTATAAGCAGAGCAACAACAACCTCCTCTATGATTTAAGGAGGAGAAGGCTATCAATTGCTACTAGCTGTGATGGGTGTTCTCTGCCTTCACTACTGGTGGCAGTAATGGTTCTGAATACCAGTTGCTGGAAACCACAGGACGGGAGAGTGCTCAGGTTCTCAGGGCCTGTTCGGGCATATGATTGGCCACTGTGACAACAGGATGGTGGATTAGATGGGCTATTGGCCTGATCCAATAGGCTCATCTAATGTTCCTACTTGTATACTGCTGCCCTCGCAGTGGTTGTTGGGCTTGTCCCAAACTTTGAATCATAACAAATCTATAATGTGAAGATGTTGTTGTTGTCATTGTTGTATATTTATTTATACCCTACCTTTTCTCCTTATGGGACTCCTTATGGTTCAGCTGAGGGTAATTATGATTGCAAGAAATAGGTTTCTTCTTATTGGTAAATAATATGTAGCTTTGAATTATTTCACAATGAAGACATGCATATGCTCCAAATGGAAGTAATCATAATCACAATTTATTTTTTTTATTTCGTTTATTCTGTATATAAAGAAATAGCTAAAATAATTAAATCACCTGTTCAGGTCTCCTCACAGCTGTCAAATACTGAAGATGTGGGCTGATAACATGAAAGCTTGTCACCTTAAAGAACTTCTGACATGGATGTTAGCTGCAGCTAGGATTTCAATAGCCCACCAATTGAAATTCTTGAAAAATCTACATTTGTATTTGTGGTGTAGGAACTTGCAGATTTTGGCTCTTGCAGGAAAAAAACAACAACACATTAATAAACTGTGCACCTGTGGAGGGCTGCAAGATCCGGAATGTTTTTATGTCTTCTGATGGGATTTTATTTATTCTCTGTTTGATTTAACACCCTACTATATCAGGGTTGGGGAACCTACGACCCTCCAGATGTTGCAGGACTACAGCACCCATCATGCGTCACCATTGGCTTTATAGGCCAAGGTGGATGGGAGGTGGAATTCAACAACATCTGGAGTGTCAGTTCCTCAACCCTATGAAATTTTTTGAAGAATTTGACATACTATTTTGTGACGTATTAGTTGGCCCTAATAAAAGTATTGTTCTACTGTAGCTTTTGGAATCCTTCCTCAATAGATTAATATGGCTGGCAATGTTTTGTATGCATATATGCAATTGTTAGTGATAGACTGTGGATTTGTACGAACCTCTAGTATAAAAATAGCAACATGAGGGCTTTCCCACTCTCTCAGATCTGCCATGCTTTGGCTAAGAGTAATGTCTGAAGAGCCCTAAACAGTGAACAGATCCTCAGAAATCCCCATGTTATAACTTTCAGGGACACACTTATAGATCCATAAGCATTTGAATAATAACAAGCATAATACATACAAATATTCCCACTGCATTACTGCACTATTTTTAGTGGGTTTTGTGTTGTAATTATACGTATTGTTTTCTTCCAAAGAGACAGACAAATCTTTTATTCCATATAATCATATGCATATACCTTTATTAGTATTCCTAGTCTTAATTATATGACTTCGTATTTGCACCATATACTAAGGTAGTTGGCCACATCATTTCAGAGGTTTTTTCCCCCTTCGTTTTCACATGTTTCCACAGTTGTTGTTTTTCTATAGGTAACAGGGAACCTAGGAAAATTGGTTACTAAAAAATTGAAATGTGGGTTTGTAGAATCCATTTTGAAACCTGCCTCTCGATGTTTACCTCAAAGCACACGTCTGTGTGTTTGCTTGATTTACATTAAGCAATATCTAAGTGCAAATAGTAATCATACACCAAAGTAAACTGGACTATATGCAATTGCCTCATCTGTTTCTTCAATTGCAGTTGCAATCCCATAGATTCCAATCTTGACAGGTAGCATAATTAGAAAATTCTCTTTGTCTTATTAAATGTGACTCTTCTCAATAGAATTTACTTGGTTGTGAGACAAGGACCGAAAATATACTTCAAATCTAAAATGGGAAATCAGGGGGGACTGTTTTATTTTTATCTGTCTTTGTGCAAGCAACATTATTATCAAAGGATATTGTAATGCCGAAAATGTACTTTGGGGATTTAAATCACGTATTAGCCTGGAAAGCAAAAAGTGCTGTAGGGCCCATGCAATATATTTTCTCATTAATCTGATTGAAAGATTATCCTTCCTATAGCTATGAAAAGTCTAATACCCATATATCCATCTTTCCTGCTAGTAAAATTCAGCTTTGTGTGAAGTCATTGTCTCTCGTGTCTGAGGTCCTATGCTCTTCTTCATTTCTCCCTATAAGCCCGGCTGTATTAAAATAAATTCAGAGCAGGCCGCCATTTCATGCACACATTTTGATTATTTCATAAGCTGCTAAGGAAAATGGAAGTATCAGCAAGTCGTGCAGTTTTACTGGTAATGTAATGCTTGTCATTACCTCAGTGGTCATGTGAAAAAGTTTAGCTATAATATCTTTGACAAATGTTCAGCGAGTCAAAACAGTGCATTTAAATGAAATGCAGATATGAATGAGCCATTATTACAATCACAACTCCAGCTTAGAAATTATTAAATATGAATATATACACTTCCTCAGCAACCTGACATTTGTAATACATAACTAGCTGCGCATTCTCCCTTGCCCCCCCTTCCCTCCCCCCTCGCACCACATCATTCTTTCCCCCTCTACCCCCTCCCCTGACTCAGAATAAAGGAAGTCATTTTGATCAGAGGCTGCACACAGTAATTGAAGACACTCCTGATGATTTCATGCAATCAGAGTGGCACATTATTTGTGATGAAAATTAAGTAAAGAAGGAAAGCCAATTTATAGGCTGTCTTGCTTATGGTCAACCGCCTTTACAAAAGATTAGCAACCAACCTCCTTCCCTTCCCCCCCCCGCTCCAACCACATACATACTTTCCACATCATAGATTTACAGAAATTTTCATATAACCTTCGTCGTAACGCACAGCACTTCCACGATTTTAAGCTTTTAATGAAACGACCCGGGGGGAGGGGGTTGAGTCTTAAACTGAATGATTTCTCTTTTGGAGCTCCTTCTTCTTCTTCTTCTTCTTTTTTGAGTGCTGATAGCACGAGCAGTATAGATGGCTCTGGCCATAACTGTCACACAGATAATATTCTTTTATGCCTCGAGACACTAAGATGGTGCTGTAGATAACCAAAAGGAATAAGCTGCCACCATCACTAATCTGCAGCTTTGAAACACTATAGCTTTTGCATGGCTAAAAGAAGGTAAAATAATCCAGGAAGTGTAATACAGATGAACATGCGTGTCGCAGGTCCAGGGAATAGAAGCTTCTTGTCTGCTGTGATTTGATTTCTCCCGTGGACCTAATTAGTCATAAGACCAGTTTGGGTATTGTTTGCAGTTCGTGTTTGTGTAAAGCGCTTGAAGATGCAAAAATAAGCTGGAGATCTTTCGTATTCCCAAATATTTTAAGACTATGGTCATAAAATTGAAATGTAGGGGATACTTGGCCTTATTGTTCCCTTCAGAATTTTCCATCCATGTACAGTATAGGTTGGGACTTGAGGAACATGTGTAACAGATATTCACCACAGTGGCAGGTCTCCAGTTCACTGAGGTGCACTCTGAAGCCTCACTGAAATCAGTGGGACTCCAGCATGTGTACTGGATCCCAGCCAATGGCTGCTCCATGCCAGACAAGGATCGTTTCTGATGATTATTTTTCAATATGTGAAGGCAAATGCTATTTAGAGTTTAATAAGAAATTGGGGATTTATTTACATCTCTGCATTGTATAGCATATGTTTCCCTGTTAGTGGAAACATGGGGATATTGGGTATGGGGTATTGGATAACAAACACTATTAAAGCTTAACTCAATGTCTTTTTCTTTCCCCACTTAGAGGAAACTTACGTTGAGAGACAGACTGATTTATATGATGCTCGAGAATAGATCTGATTTCTGACAGCCGTAGCCCTTAATTGCTCTGCATCTTTGTCTTAACAGATACTGCAAGTTGCTTTCGCATCCACAGCACATTCGATCCTTTGCATGTTTACCTGGAAGTAAGTCCCATTCTGTTCAGTCGGGCTTTCTACCACTGCACCCTGTGGATAATTAACAACATTTAAAGTGCATCTACTCTCTGCTAAGTACAATCGCCATTCCCACCTCCTAAATTTTAGATCCCCCAGTCTCACTTAAGAAATTTCTAATCAAAAATGGTTCTGAGATTCCTGTGTGAAATGGGATTGTCAGGAAAGACACAAAGGAGAAATGAACAAAGCAGAAGAATTGGACCCTCTGGAATACACACACACACACACACACACACACACACACACCCTACCTCTGTGTGTTTCAAAAGAACAACTATACTTTCCAGAGAAATATTAAAAAATCTATTTGAGAGTCAAGAGGGATATGCATATTCTTATTGAATGTGTGACCTCTCAATGCTAATCTGCTAAGTTGTGCCCCCATGTAGACTCGCATTGCTGGGACAAGAGCACAAAGCATGCAGGAAGCTATTAAATGCACAGCAGTATTTGAAATCGAACCACGGTGACTTGTTGTTATGGCATGCTGACATTATTGGTTCTTGTATTCAGTTACATAATGATCTCTGAAGTTCGCTCTTAAAAGTGTTCTATAACGCCACTTGAAGAGTTTACAAAATCCGGCTGTAGAGGGCACAATCCACAGCTGTATTCGTTTCAACCCAGTGTGCACAAAAGACAGTTCCTAGCAGATTGAGACTAGAGTGTATTTTCCAGTGCCCTTAAAATAAGTTTGTGTGATAGGCAAACCATTGTAATGATGAATATCATTTAAAGAATATATATATACCGTATTTTTTGCTCTATAAGACTCACTTTTTCCTTCCTAAAAAGTAAGGGGAAATGTGTGTGCGTCTTATGGAGCGAATGCAGGCTGCGCAGCTATCCCAGAAGCCAGAACAGCAAGAGGGATTGCTGCTTTCACTGCACAGCGATCCCTCTTGCTGTTCTGGCTTCTGAGATTCAGAATATTTTTTCCCTTGTTTTCCTCCTCCAAAAACTAGGTGCGTCTTGTGGTCTGGTGCGTCTTATAGAGCAAAAAAATACGGTATGTATATAGTTTGTCCCATCACAACAAACATGACAATACATAATCAGGACTCTTAATTTAAAAAATGCAGATATAGGAAGTAGGGATAGAAAATTGGACTTCAGCAGAACCACTGCCTTTTAGGATGAATTTGGGCTGGGATAGGGACATATGGGAACAGATAACAGTGGGGCCAACAAGGCAGGACCTCAGGGGTCAGAACTATGGGGGGCCAGTAGAATGAGTTGAGGAGGGCAAATGAAGCAGCTCTGGCTTAGCATCACATTTATAAAGCAAGTGCAGTAATACAAATTACCATCTTAAATAACCTTCCCCCTCCACCAAGACCATTAATTCCAAACTCAAGAGCATGTTTCTCCTAAGAATATTAAGTCCGTTAACATTCAGCTAGGCTGAGTTGTGAAAAACAGTGGCTACATCTGAAAACATTCATTTGAAAACTTCAGTCAGGCTCAGTTGTGGGGAAAGTAACCATTTAAGAGGTTTTGTGATTATTTACTATCATTTTCATAGTTTATAGGAATTCAGTAGTAATAATAAGAGGTCAGTTTAAGACCAGAGAAGACATATGTAGGAAATCCATGATTGCATTAACTTTAACCTCAACATAGTTTGAGGCGGTATCTGATGTAAATTGATGTATTCCTGATGTAAATTGTCTGCCTAAAGCTGGTGTTGTTTTCATAAGGCTGGGGGGACCAACAGGCAGCTGTATTTTTCTTGCAGAATTAAAGGTGGGCATGTAGACAGAATTAAACACACACACCCCTCACCACTGCTGTAATTGCATTCAGAGCCTCCATTCCGGATGTATTTAAATAAAAATGAAAGACTGAGATGAGCAGTTATGTGTCTTGTGTGTAATAGGTAGTTTGGCTTTTGTTATAGATTGCCTTGCCAGTCATATTGAGGTACTATGGAAATATGAAGGTTAAACAGAGTCTGCTCATGGTATAGTGCCATCAAACCTTTATGGCTTGGAACCAATATACCAGAACGACATTCCCCCCATCCCCAAATGACACAGACATATGTGAGATAAACATCAATACCTTCTCTATATGTCTCTGCTTTCTGAGGTGAGGTGAATGATATCCAGAGAAAGGGCTTTCTCAGTGGTGGCACCCTGCATATCAAACATCTAGCACAGGATGATTTGGATGGCACTCTCTCTTTTACATTTATGTGGTTGTTGTTTTTTAAACCACTCAAATATTTCTTTTGGTTTTCTGTGATGGTGTCCAAGTGACTTTTAATTTATTCTGAATTATGTTTCTCAAGCATTGGCCTTTATTAGATTTTAGGGCATTGTTACACTAGAAGGGAAGGCGAAATAGAGACATTGATTCTTCCAGCCAATAGAAGACAACACAGCATGAAAAAAGTTCAGATTTATTGCATGGTGTAGTGTGAATAAAGAATTGATTCCTATCCAAAGAACTTGGCCCCTGATCAAAGGGTACCCAAAGCTTTTATAGCATTAGAAAAGTGTGTGTGTGTTTAATGCCACTCATTTATCCTGCTGCTTTTATTATATTTGTTTTCACTTCCTTTGGCATAAATCATTTTTATTCTGAAGTTACCCACCCTGGGTGCTTCTCTAAAAACTGAAGTGTGGATTATACAAACTTAAATAAACAAACTATGACTCCCGCTTAATTTCCCCCCAGTTATAATTTGTGCTTTATCTGAATGTGAGCAGCAGGTATTCTTGCCTCCCTCTGATGCAGCAGCAAATACAATGGCAACCACACAAAGAAAGAAAGAGGGAGTTCTGAGGTGCAGCAAGGTAAACAAAAGTGATACCCGACCAATAGTACGAAAATTTGTGAGAAAGAGAGTGAAACAGATTATGCTTTTGCTAATTAACAGTAGGAATGAACATGAAATGAAGCATAAATGATTTTACTAGTCTTGTTAACTGAAAATCCTCATGGATTTCCTTAAAATTTCTCAAATTTCAGCACCAACTCCTGATGAAGCATCTTGAATGGATCCACGTGAAATATGCAGCCCAGTTTGGGTGCTCTGATCCTTTACACAATTAGAATCACATAAAGCACAGAGTGGACACGTCCTACCCCACTCCCATGCCCTGTTGCCATCCTTGTGCAGTCACCCTCCCTAAGTTGGAGGCAAAGGTCTGCGGCAGAGTAGCTGCTTTACTTCTGTAGGGTCCCTGTGTATTGTAGAACACTGGAAGATCAAGGTTCTAGATTGTACAAGGAGTCCACCATGAACAATGCAAGATCAGAGCTTCAGAAATTATCCCTCTGACTCATGGGGGAGTGATTGGGTTGGCATTGAGGGTGAAGCTAGTGTACTCATTCTCACTCCAGTTTGAACACCCAAAGTGAGCTTGTACCATCTGTATAAGTGAGATGCATCAATGGAGCTAGATGTTCAGAAAATGCTACACTAGGTCAGCCAGGAAGAAGCCACCATACTCTGGGGCAGTGTATGTTCCTATAGCTGAAAAGAGGAAGGAAGATAATGTGGTGGTGTGTGTGTGTGGTCACTGGCAGAGGAAGAGGAGTGCGGGGGTAGTGCTCCGGCAGTGCGATCCTGGTAGGGTGCCATCGTGGCTGCCCCCACCCACGCTGGGTGCCATGCCCCTGCAGGTGGCATGCCCCGCCCCCAGGACGCCCCAGAACATGCGCCAGCACTGCCCCCGCCTGCCAGAGCATGAAACTCCGCCACTGGGTGTGGTTCCTGGCATAGCGAGTGTGTTCCAGAAAGCCAGCTTGGAAAAAATGGTTTTGTAGCCTGAACTTTTAAACTACAAGTAGTTACATTATGAGAACAAAACAATGTAGAACATAAACAACAGCAAGGCTTATTGCTGCTCTGCAAAAGAAAAAAGTTGCAAAAAAAATCCCACACCTGCTGATGCAGTTTTTGTAAGTTCTGTGAATGTCTCTGCCTTGCAAGATCCTGTTTGTATTATTCTAGTTCATACTAATATAAGTACTATATTGTAATTCTGGTCCCAGATTAGCAAACCAGGAAAGCTGAATCCTAGTCCTGAGATGACCAGGAACTGATGCAACATACTAATTATATCAAGTTTAAATTACTGCCTATACACAAAACCTGCAGGGAAGGGAGATGGCAGAGTTCACTAGCCAGTGTCATTGGGAAATGTTGAAAGGAAATATTGGCGTCTTAAATAATGTTGTTTGGACAGAGAGCTCATCCTTCAAAGTTCATCCTTGCCAATTGAAACACTCAACCTCACTTTAGTCAAGTGCTACAAGAGAAGATATGTTTTGTACACATATTGGATTTTTTTTTTCTGGGGAAAAAATAAAAATAAAAAGGAAATATATCTTGATTTCTGCTTTCCAGGGGACAGTTAACATACAATCTTACAGTAACTGCAGCATCAGCTGGGATAGTTCTGATGCATATGGAAATGAATCATACCATCTTTTGTTAAGTACTGGAATTATCTGCTTAAGACACTATATTCATAATTTCACTTGCACATGATTCGTGAAATGATGGAGGACACTTTCAGCCCCATGATTACTGCTTCTTGCTCCAGGAAGATCAGCATTCAGTGCTGAAAATATACTGGGGCAATGGGGACTACAAGTGCTCTATGAAATGTTTGAAGGAGTTTTGCCGTACGATTTTTGCAGCCCATTGGAATCAGCACTCTGCTTGGGCTTTGCACATTGGAGGAATAAGCTCATTTCTCAGTGCTACCATTATATCAAGTATTATGGTTGATATTCTATGCGGTACCAAAACAATGATAAATAAGTCTCATGGTAAATATAACACCATGAAAAATAGGGCTGCACAGCTCATCAGTTATATCACTTTGCTACTTTTAAAGCTCAGTATGCTGCTATATAATGGGGAAGAAAACTACAGCAGCTGGTTTTTTTAAGGTGGGGTAGGTGAATTTATTTTCAAGTTTAAAAATTCCCATTGTATTGCAATAGAAACCCATGAGGATGATCAAATCAAATAAGCATTTTAACCACTTGAAAAGTTAGGTATTAATTCATCCTAGCAGATTTTTGTTTGATTTTATTTATCTAGTACTTACGCACCTGTTCATTCATTTTGATTGTTTAACTAGATATGTGAAGAAATATGGCAAATATCAATCACAGGGAGAAAAGACCAAGGCCATATTTATTTGACCAGGGCCAGTTCATCAGGTCTCCTGGGAGGGAGTAGCAAATATGATGCCCTCCAGATGTTGTGGACCACAACTCTCATAATTCCTGACCATTGCCCATGCTCCCTCGGACAGATGGGAGCTGTAGTCCACAGCAGCTGGAGAGCACCATGTTGGCTACCCGTGTCCTAAAGCATCTCAACAGGTCCCTTGTTTGCTTAAGTAAAAAACTATCAAATTCAGAGAAGTACAAATTTTGAAGGATAGCTGTGTTTCAGATAACTTACTATTTCAAAAAGTTTTAAATAGGAAGGATCTCATTAAAATTCACACCAAAATGAATTTATCCCCCATCCTTAGCAGCAACCCTCTGAAACCTTGCCAATGAGGACTATGATGGGTTTCGCTTGCTCCGCCTAGGAGATTCCTATGAAATAATAAGTTTTCTTTGGATTCAATGAATGTGCGTTTTACTTATTCATTCACTCCCTCCTCAGACATCTTGGGCTACCTTTCAAAGGACTGTAGGATTGCTTACCTATTATCAGGCCTCACCTTTCATCATCATATTAGCCTCCTGATTTATTATTTTTAAGGGGGGTGGACATATTTTATTTCTAGAAACAAAGCCAGTGAACAGTAATTGGTGTTTGAGATACTCAACCTGGTGCCTTCCAGATGTTTTGGGACTACAACTCCCATCAGCCCTAGCTGGCACAGCCAGTGGAAAGGGATGATGCAAGTTGTAGCCCAAAGCATGTGGAAGGTACCAGCTTGGGGACATCTGCTCCAGAATATCCTGAAAGAAAACAAGAGTGGCCCATTCATAATGAACAAACATAGCAAATCTTTCAAGTTGAAGACATTTTTTCCATCATATGTTGATGTTTTAGAAATACTCTTTTTTCCCATTTTAATTAGTGCATGGAAGAAATCACATCAAGCCTCAAGCCCACAAAGAAAACATTTTTTTCCCCTGCTCATGTCAAGGTATTTACATAGATCACAGGATAATACTGTTTCAAAAAGCAATGTAATTTATTCACCTTTTAATCAATGTCTCTTGAATGATACAGAGAGAGACAAGAAGAACTTAATTGCAGCATGGACCATGGGAGAAAAGAGATGAAATGGAAAGGTCACTCAGATGTACGGACTCCACCAAGTGGAAGGTCAAAGTGGTACTAGGGGCTTGTCATCACCATTTTCCAGACCTATTTGGAGAACAAAAAGACCGAGAAGAAAATTAGCAGGATGAGACTGATTTTGAGACATAAATGAATGGCGTAAGGACTAGTGAGTCTGCACAAGTTCCATGAACTAATTCATAAACAGTTGGAATGAAGCCATGGAAGCTTAAACAATCCCATCATTATAAATGTTAAAGAGGTTGCGTGGCATTTGTAATACAGCAGGTAAGAACATGGTAAAAAAAATGCAAGCATATACCTTTACCATATTCTTATGTGCTGTGTTTAGAAGTCCACACCATGACACGGTGGTTTCTAGTAATTTAGTATACCAGAATATGATGCTACTCCAACTGAGCTCTCACTCATTGTTCAGTCTCCCTGCAGACTGGATTTGGCCTGGCAACCATAAGAAGATTATGGTAAGCTGAACTCTGCACTTCTTCATGTTCCAGGGTTGTTGTTGCTTTTAAGAAGCCAAACTTTGTTTGCCCTGACCATATCTCTGCGTATCCTTGCATATGAATGAAGTATCTTACAGTGACATCTTGTCAACTCAATGCTTATTTATTTATTTACATATTAAGATCCCTAGATCACCACATCCCAGAGGCCTAGCATAAATAACTGAACTGTGCAAATACAGCAAGAGACAGTTCGCTGTCAGAAAGGCTAAGAATCTAACACTCATGTCAGTAGCTTCCAGAATGAGAACCATTTAGGCTGCAATCCTCTGCACACTTACCTGGAAGCAAATCCCACTGAACTTATTGTTCTTACTTCTGAGTAGATATGTATAGGATTTGCTAGGATATGTAAGGGAATAATGGAGATCTGTTTGAAAGTAGTCACTCTCTCAGTCCTGAAAGTTTGTTAAAATGGAAATGATATTGATTTGCTGATAAAAGTGTCGTGATTTTTAAAGAGATAAGGGCCAAACTATGGAAAATCACAGTCAAACGTAATGAGGTATAAGTGCCAGTTAGTGCATGAAGGGGTTAAGACCAAAGAGGTCTGTTCCTAGACTCAGCGAGATCACATCCACTTACCTCAGTGAGGGAGGAAGTGAAACTGCTTCTCTTCTCTTCCTTTCCTCTCCCTCCCAGCTATATAACCGACCAGGACGGACATGTCTGAACTTAATCCAAGTTCAGACTGCATGTTTGAAACCATATTATGTATTTTGCATCCAATAGAAATCTACAAGTACCTGTGCTCTCCTTGCTGCTGCATGGAACAATACATTAATCAGATCTTTGGTTTTAGTAAGTAAAGCTTTTAAACTTACTGAAGAATATGTAGTCTGTTCACCTTCTACATAAACCCCATGTACCTCAGGTGCACATGGGGAAAGAGTTGACTTTTGCCGACTAACTGCAGTCCTTCATATGCATAACTGAATTATGTCTTTGCTCTGTAACTTTCAGGACCAGCTTGTGGAGGTGGATCAGTAGTATACTCCAGTTAGAATAAGGGAGGGAGGAATCCCAGGGCACATGATGTCCTTTTTATCCCATATGACAGTTATATTTGTGCTGCTGCTAGTTTCCCCCCTGGTTGATACTATTGTTTAATAGTAACATATGATTGGTTTTAATATTTGTATTGTAGGTGGTGTGTGTGTGTGAGAGAGAGAGAGAGAGAGAGAGAAAGGTGGAATATAAATGTTTAAAGCAATGGGAAAAAAAGAAATGGCACTATTGGCAACCAGGAGTTTCATTCATTGTGTGCGCGCATGCATCACCCTTCAAGATACAAACCATGGAAGCTATAACGATTAAAAAGAGAAAAGAGAAATATGGAAATGAACTGAGCCACATACAGGGATTTGCTAGAGGAAAAGGATAATAAATTAAAATTAAAGAATTACGGAGAAATAAAGCACCACCTGACAGGGTGGATCCAATACCACCAGTTATACAGTAAATTTAATGAAGATTAAAAAAAACCCAAAGGATTTGCAACAGAACTCTCACTATTAGACAAAATGTATTACAAAGTAAAGTAAAGGTAATTTCTAAAATGTATGGATTATTATTAGAATGGGAAGCTAAGGATGAACAAATCAAGGAAGTAATGATTAAATGGGCTATGGATCTGGGTAAAAACATTCAAATAACACAATGGGAAAAGCTTTGGAGAGAAAATTGGAAATTCACAGCATGCAAAGCAATAAAAGAAAATATGATAAAGATGTTTTTCAGGTCGTACTTAACACCTACTAAAATTTGAAAAATGTACAATACTAAATCAAATTTATGTTGGAGGTGCAATGAACTGGAGGGCACACTTCTACACATGTGGTGGCAATGTGAAAAAATTAAGGGCTTCTGGGATTTGGTTTTTGAAGAGATGAAAATATATATATATAAAATTTTGAAGAAAAAACAGAACCCTTTTTGTTGGGAATAATTGATATGGATATAGCCAGAGAAGATAAGAAATTATTCTTGTATGCTTTGGCGGCAGCTAGAACCCTGATTGCAAAAAAATGGAAAAAAGAAATAATTCCAACAAAACAAGAATGGCAAGACAAATTAGTTATGTTGAATTGGCAAGATTGACAGATGTGATCAGAGGTCACAGCAAACGAAAGTTTCAAAAAAACTGGAAGAAATACAGTGATTACTAGAAAAAACAATGCCCGCATATTACTACTTGGACTTGTTTTAATTAACTTTTTCAAACTGATTTATGGTTAGAACAAAACAACCAAAAAGAAATATAAAGAGAGTTAAAAAGAAGATAAAGGGAAGCAGATTACTATGGCTGATATTAGACCCATGTAGAGGATGAGGGAAGTCAACAAAGAAAATGGATTTGAAATTCGGTTAAAATACATTGCTCATTAGTGTATTTTTGAGGTATGTTTTTATTTTTTCTGTGGTTCTTTTTGTTAATATTGTTATTCCTTTTTTGTTCCTTTTCTTTTTTTCTTTTTATTTGTCATATAATGTATGTCTCTGTGTTATGGTTGTCTGTCAGCACATAAAATAAAAATAAAAAATAATAATAAAATAAAAGATACAAGCAATGGAAATCACATTGGAATGTGAGGTCATCACGTATTTGCAGGAGCTAAATGTTTGTGTGAATGTACCATAAGGTGGAAAAGGTACATTGGACAGAACTAGAGAGTGTACGTTAAAAGTAGTCCACAGGTGGCATCTGATCCCAGTTAAGTTGTGTCGTGACTCTAATAATGGCATGCCATCTTTATGTTGGAGAAAGTCTGAAGTTAGAGGCTCCCTGCCTTATGGATATACGGTAGTGTCAGAGCTGGCTCCAGGTCCCAGCTCACAGAGGACCAACGCTAGCCG